TAAGTTTTGCACAAAAATCATCAAACGTCTCATCATCACGCATAAAAAGAGTTTCAAAAGAGGAGGTGAGACGTTGAAGTTTTGATCTTTTAATAGCAGTAGTGCCCTTGTGAATAGTTTCAAGAATGTCCCAAACCTCTTTTGCTACCTCACACGTGCAAATACGACGAAACTCTTTTGGTGTGCCAGAGCAAAAGAGGGAATTGAGAGCTTTACTGTTCCAATTCGAATTTTGATAATCGATTGTGTCCCACCTATTGAGTGGTTTGGGGATATCAGCACCATCAATGGTGGCAACAGGCTCACTCCACCCATAGAGCACATAGTGCCAAACTTTCTCATCGATAGATTTTAAAAACGTCCTCATACGAGCTTTCCAATAAGAATAGTTTGTACCATCGACTAACGGAGGTCTATGGGTCGAGTTACCTTCGCAAATTGAATCTATATCACAAATCACACAAAATCACATTTCTATAGTTTTGAGAAAAACAAAGAGTGACCTACACCAATACCAATTGAAAAACCTAAGTGATTTGTGATTCAGACTAGATTAATTACAACAATACCCAAACACTTAAAATAGGCATTCTAAATCATCTAGCACATACGAAAGTGATTTAGATTGTTACTTCAAAATCAATTAATCAACACAATAGATTTTTACGTGGAAAAAACCACAATTGAAACTCCTCCAATTGTGATTAAAAAATCACGGATTAAACACCACTAATCAATCCACTATGAAAGAAAGAAGGAATACAAATTAACCAACCAAATTACCCAAACTTTGACAATTTGTCTTCAACAATCTGTATCTCTTTCACCTCAACCTTCGTCTCGAAATTGATTAGATTGATGTTGAATCCACAACATCCACGTCAAATCAACGACTGCGCACAGCTTCAAATTCCTTCGAATACTCCACACGTGAATCTCCGGATTCCATCGAAAAAGAACACCCTTGAAGTAGAACACACTATAATCAAACTCTTTGATGTATGCTTGTCAAACCATGTGAGTTTTAATACTCAATCAAACAACAACGGAAACTCTCAAAATAGCCCTAGAAGAAAACCCCAAAACCCTCAAAGAAGATCTGGAAGCCATGTCCTAAATTTGGAGCAAACTGCAACTTTATAGCAGTAGAATACGCGATCTCCGCTCGAGCGCAGGAATGGCCGCTCGAGCGGGGACACCAATACGCGTGTTCCAAACAAGGTTCTACGCTCGAGCACAGGAACATACGCTTGAACGTAAAATCACACCTCACAGTATTCTTTGCAGACGAGCCAAAATACTAAGAAGGTGGAAACACAGCTCGAAAGCCACTTTCCCCGCTCGAGCGAGAAGACCAAAAACTGAGAAAAAATTACAACTCAATTAACCCAAGCTTGTTCACGGAATTGGCAATAAGTAGGGTCCTAACAGTCACGAACCAAAAAAAAAAAAAAAAATTGTGAGATTATGACAAGTTGATATAAATGGTCCGTGTATCCACAATTTTTATTTTTATTATTATTTTTTTGGTCTAAATAGTAGCATATGTACTAAAAATTTCTTTTATATAATTTGTAAAATATAATTTTTTTTAAAAAAAATAATATTATCATGGTGAGTAAATTTAAGTTCCAAACATTGATTAGTTTAAAAAGTCTCACATTTCATATCCCTTACCATTGAATTTCTATACGGCAACTCATACTTGAATTTAATATTAAAATTCGATAAACATAGCAATTACTATTATTTTATTATCTATATTAACCAAAATTCTTAAAGTGGATATTATGTTTAGTTATCCAGCGGGCCTACATACTAAAAAAATTATAAAATTATTTAAAATTTATACACGAGCCCAAAACATGAAAACAAACCTACACTCTAAACTACAAATTTTAAGTAATTTTCTATTTATTTATTTTCTTGAATTCATAGACTTCTCCGTAGGTATGTTGGTGATTGTGGTACCAAAAACCACTTTCCATTGGGATTTCCCAAGGAGTCTGCAGCATAATAGTTGCCAAACAAAAATGGTACTACCACTACTAGAAATTTGACTTTTTACGTCTATTTTTTTGTGACTGATCACTTATCCGTCGTAAAAAATAATTTTTGACCTCAAAATCTCGTGTTACAACCTCATTTGTTCTCGTTTTACCATCTCAGTTTCCTGACCCAATCGTTCTTAACTTTAAAAAAAGAAAAAACCAAATCAGTAAAACTTGACTCCCTCTCCCTCCCTCTCAATCCGCTTTTTTCTCTTATTTCCCAAATATGAACTCTCTTTCTCTCCCTCTCAAAATCTGTCTCTCGCTCGAATCTCACTGCCTCTCTCGCTCGAATCTGTCGCTCGAATCTCACTGCCTCTCTCGCTCAAATCTGTCGATCGATTCAACTCTCTCAAGTCCACAACTGTTGAAGATTTCATAATCGGTAAGCCTAAACATATCTTCATCGATTCCACTCTCTCTGTAATGATCCGAATTATGTACTTCTCTGTAATGGAATCTGTCTCAAGAAGAATCTGTAACAGCGCTTTGCACGGAGCTATGGCGCGCTTGTGCTGGTCCGCTCGTGACAGTGCCTCGTGAAGGCGAACGTGTGTTCTATTTTCCTCAAGGACATATTGAGCAGGTTAGTTTCCAACTCTAGGCAATCAGATTCGGAGTTCTTTGTTTCTCTCAGAGGTTAGATTCATTAGGATTTCTCATAATGCTCTATAATTTTTTCAATCTTGTCTCTATTGGTTGTGCATCTCTAATTGTTCATCAATTTGTTCATCAGATTCAAATTTGATCAAAAAAATGGCTCCAAAATGTTTGATTATTGATGAAGAATTATGTTTGACGGATATGTTTGATTATCATCAGTCATCAAAATGATATCACTCCAATTTTGCCATCATACAATGATTTTAGGAATTTCTAAATTTTTATTTTATTATTCTGTGATCTAGAACTAACTGATTATTTTGTGCGGCCTCTGCCTTATGAGGGTGAAACACCTTACCTTGTGCTTTTTTTGCATTTGAAAATGCTGTGATAGAATGTATTCTTGAATTGGTGTTTGAGTTACACCAGCCAACAGCCAGCGTCTCAGGTTTGTTTATTTGCGCTCTAAACCAAAAGGCACCTCCACAATTGTGGTGTCTTGTGTCATCTTATAAGTCCATCATGGACATAATCCACAACTGAACTGGGATTTATTTCTCTACTGTAGAGTAAAGTAACTGTCAAATGTAGAAGATAGGAAGCGCATTAATCTCATCCACCTTAAATGGAAAAATAAGAAAAAGTGTCCATACATTCAATAGAAGGGAAGTTACATCCCTGATGCTGATACTGGAAATGATTGATTACATACCAAAGGTTTCAAATATCAGAAGAGGTAAAGTAGAAACAGCTATGGTTCTAGTTAAACATTAATTTAGCTCATTTAGTCAAGTCTTCTGTTGCAAGCTTATGTGCATACAGCTTCCACAAGTCTGCTACAGACAAATTTAATGAAATTAATACACTTGCAGAGTTAAATTTTTTTACCATTAACTAAAAACATCAAGTTTATGAAGAAGAAGAAAAAAAAATCATGTTAAATTTAATGAAATTAATATCTATTGGATGAAATTATTCTTAAGAATATTTGATTTTGACTTCATTCGGTCGAAAAATGATATATATGTGTTCATCAATGTCTACTCATGTTTTGTTGGGAATTAACATATTGTGATATGCTTCCATTTGGACCTTGTGGTGATATCCTGGCATTGTATACATTTTCCTGACTTTTTTTCCCCCCTTTCCCTAACATGGACTCTAATCATGCAGTTATTTATAATTTGCCATGTCTGATTAAGTTCTCTGACTGCCCTGTGGCTGTCAAATTCTACCCGGTCTATGAGAATATGGAGTGAATTACTCATATTTTTGTAATATGAAATATAAGCGTGGGGATGGATCTAGTTAGAAAACATTTTTTGTACCCCTAACGAATAATTGTCAGTCTCAAGTATGTTATTGCTCTCAACAAATTTCGTATGTGGTGAAGAACAACCACTTATTGTGTTTGTGTATATCATACAGCAATATCTTTCAATCCAAGCCTCTATGTTTGAAAGTTTTGATAGGAAAATTTCCGCATATTGATTTCATGACTGTATCGGGGAAATATAGCATGTTTATATTGGACGAGAAAATTTAACCATGGCAACAGCAGCCCCAATGCATATAGCTATATAAGTAAGATTTGATTGATTCATGTCTCTTTGAATGTGTTATTTTTGTAGATGTTGCAACACTGTATTCATTATTGGCTCTCTGTTACCTCGAATATATTCTCTAATGAAGTTTCTGATATGATGGCAGATATAGTGTTTGCATGGATCCACTGATGGACTGGACAGTATGTTTTATGCTCATCTTTCTGCAATAACTACAGTTTCTTCTTGATGATGTTTTGCTCTTACATGTTTTCTTCCTCACAGATATGTTGCAATCATGAATGCAATATTCTCAGCTCAACGTCAATGGTATCGTGCAATGTAGACTTTTAGTATTTTTATTCCCCATATTATACACATCAAATTTTTATTGATTTGCTTTGAATTAATATTTATGTTAGTGTTGGTACTGTACTTGGTTTTTGATTGTGCTTTATGGGGTTTCTCTTGCCAAGTTCTAAGTACAAAAACTCCTTTAGGTGAACACGAAAGCATAGAGTTGTCAATAGTTTTCTTTTGTTGTTATCATTGTTACTGTCTTCTGTTCCCACATTATTCCATTGGGCTCATGAAATACACTTCTATTTATCATTAATGTGTGAAAATAAAGATCTATGTTCTTTAATTCAGTAACACAGCTTTTAGTGTAACCAGGCCTTAGTTTTGTATTTTCTAAATTTATGTTATGAACCTTCTGTTTATTGGTGATTTGATTTAGGAATTTTGACTTAATAGGAATAGGTGTTATTTTGTCACGTAACAAAACATGACAAAACACTTGCTAGGGTGTTTTGTCAAGGGCTTTATTAACATTGTTATCTGTACTAAAGTAGCGACCTTCAAACTCCTCCATGCCTGGGATCACATGTGAATCCTTGTTCAGTGACATGTCAATCTCCCATGTCACAATTTTTAGCTTTGGGAATTTCTTACAAACAACATGTCTTCCTTCAGGAGCCTGCGTCGTTATTTCAAAATTTTCAAAAATGAAATATAAACTATTAATAATTCTGTAGAACTTAAAATTGTCTGGAGAGAAAACAATTAAACATCAAAATCACTCACTGCTATGAGATTAAGGAAGATTATGTTGGATTCTACTACACCCTTGCTCAGCAGCAAAGAAGTAGCTTTGATTGCAGAATTTCCTAATGATGAAGAATTTTTAGACACTGGATATGTATTATGAAAACATATTTGGAAGAATTACAGTATGTTTGGAATTTATTTTACTTGAAGCCAAAACTGGGTCGAGCAATAACACATTGCGGCTTGAAATGTCAGCTGGTAGTTTCTCATAGATTAACTACAGCAATGTCACAGGTATAAAATCTTACAGAAGCAGTTGAGAGAGAGAGAGAGAGAGAGAGAGAGATCTTAAAAGCATCTTTGTAGAATTTGCATATGCATCTTGGAGAAGATAGAGCTAGCACTCGTGAATGAATACATGGTTTGGTTACTACTGCAGAATTATGTTAAATTGACGAATTTTACAAATTTGCATATGCATCTGGGAGTACGAGCTTGAGAGAGGTACAATACTTACAAATTGATGAATTTTACGTTTTATCAATTTGTATATATACATATGGAAATTATTAACATTATACTAACATATTGTAGCTGTCAAACGCATCTAGTGGGCAACAAGCTTCAAAAGAAAATGAATAGGTATGCCACTCTGCTTTTCAAAAGGAAATTATTGACACATTATACTAACCTATTTCTCTGCTTTTAATGAATGTTTGTTTATATATGGAGTGGGGTCCTTAGAGCTTGCTGGTAATCTTCCCTTAGTTTAATGCAAATACCCTAAGCCCTTTGCTGTTGATCAATTCTTTTTCCCAGAAGAATAAATAAAATTAAAAAAAAAACTATCCACCAAGTATTTATGAATTTAGTCAAATTGATGGGCTGTTCCATATGTATTTGGATCTTGAAAGCTTAGTTTAATTAAATGGTAGAAATTTATGATGAACAGGCTTTGCTATTGATAGTTGAATTGTTGTTGAATATTTACTTCAAAGTTGCAAGCCTTTGAAAAATACCAGTGGATGATGGCTTTGAATTCTCTCTAACACACACACATGGTTGAAATTGTCACCATTCGCTTCAGATGAAGTGAGTTAGAAAGAAGCATGTTAGTGTTGGTCATTATAGTTATTTTGGATGATGTGGGCCTTCATATAATTATTGTAAGCAAAGGCTCCCACATGCTGAAAATTAGAACTAACACGTCAGTCATTAGTGCCAATAATGAACTACCATCAAAGGCTACAAATATAGAGAAATCAAAGATCTCGGCTTAAATAAATTACAGTTTCTTTCTATTATGAGCTCAAAAGTGATTTCATCGGAATTAGTGGAATGTTGGACCTATGGGCTTCTTTTTTTCTGAATTAAGAAATATACATAAATCATAACCTTCCTATGGCAGATTGTTAGTTGCATTGATGGTGCTTATTATTTCCGACACATGGGCAACTCTTTTGATAAAAGGTTTCCAAAATTCTTCATTGCTAATTCTTGAATTACATAGTGAAGTCAGGAACTTGATGTGAACTTCTAAATAGTGAAGTCAAATTTCTTCTTGTTGTTTTGGTATTAATCTATGCTAGGACAAAGATTATGTTAATCATGTTCATTTTTCAAATTCTTTGGTTTATTCATTAAACTGATTGGATTGGGTGACCATTTTCTTGTCTATTTATTTGTGCAAATTACGAATTGGCATCTATATTTTTGTAATTTACTCAAGCAAAAGAATTTAGAGAATGAACCCTTTTTTTTCTCTTGACAATTTCTTTTCAAATAGTTTTATTTTTATTATTTCAAGTTAAACTGCATTAAATTTTCAAGTCACGTGTATATGTTTTTGCAGGTTTTGTTGAGGGAGTAGTTGATATAATCGAGCGGCTGATGTTTGGGAGCCAAACTGAGATTATGTTGTTCTTTCTTTTCTTTTCTTTTTTCTTTTTCTTTCTTTCTTCTTTTTTATTTATTTTTTATTTTTTTGAGGACTTGAATCTTTTAGCACAATATATTTTAAGGATGGTTGATGGTTATTTCTTTTGCATGTATGAAAGTTTGTATTTTGTTTGCACACTTATATGTGAATAGGTTAGTATTTCTATTATGAGTTTAAATTAATTTGTTAATTTTGTTATTTTTTATTAAAAAAAATTATTAAAATACTCTGCTTTTTTGAGACAGCATTTTCTGCCGTCACAAAAAGTGACTTTTTGAGACGGCAAGTGTGCCGTCGCAAATAATTCCATCTCATATACCCAGTTTTCTTGTAGTGTGGATATTATGTTTAGTTATCCAGCGGGTCTACATACTAAAAAAATTATAAAATTATTTAAAATTTATACACGAGCCCAAAACATGAAAACAAATCTACACTCTAAACTACAAATTTTAAGTAATTTTCTATTTATTTATTTTCTTGAATTCATAAACTTCTCCGTAGGTATGTTGGTGATTGTGGTACCAAAAACCACTTTCCATTGGGATTTCCCAAGGAGTCTGCAGCATAATAGTTGCCAAACAAAAATGGTACTACTAAAATTTTTAGTAAATATGGCGCATGAGTGTGGAATCTATAAAATTTTTAGTAAATATGGCGTATGAGTGTAGAATCTATATAATGTACGTTACACATATAAAATATGTAATAAAATTTTTATTAGAACTTTTAAAATCTCTAATATCAGTCATTGCCAAATTATCTACAGCTAGACATTTGTTCCTTTACTATTCATTTATGTGGCCTTTCGTGCATGCTTGCCGCTTGTCGTGTTTGTCCCTGTCTATCTTTTGATGTTATAATAGTCATCAAGCATAAATATTCTTTTATACAAATTCCTTTTTCTTTTTTGTTTTCATTTTCTCTTGTCAATTTAGAATAAATCTTTGAGGACATGTTTGATATCATTTTTATTTTCATATTCAATTTTTTTTTTAAAAAAAAAACATCATTTTTTGGTTTTTAGCAAATACAATTTCAATAATAAAATAAATTGAATAAGTTTTTTTTTTTATATTTCTTTTAATAAAATTCTTAAAATAGTTTTCAAAAACTATTTGCCGAATAACATTTCTTATTATTTTCTTTTGAATAAGAAAAAAAAATTATATATACCCACTTTTGAGGAGGCAAATAATTATCTCTAAAAATTTTTGTCACGTAAACATAGAATGTGATAAGAATATTGAAATTTGATTTGCAATTAAAAATGCATTAAGACCAAAGAATAAAGGTTTTTTTTGGAGAGAGAGGATATTGTGACCTTTAGAGCATAATCTAGTTAATGACAATCCTTGCTCATCATGGAACAAGAGTGGTAGTTATAATTAGATGCCGTAATGACTTAATGCGCAAGTAAAAATGTCTATTTGCATTTTCTGCACTCCAGCTTGGCTTTTTTTATTTTTATTTTTAAGGAAGGATAGATAGACTTAGGCCTTGTTTGGTTTGTTTTTAAGAATTTTTTTTGAAAAAAATAGAAATAAATTTGATGAAATTAAATATCAAGAAAATATTTTTAAAATTTTAAACATTATTTATGGCTTTGCAAAAGATAAAATTATGTAAAAATGATAAAGCGTTTTTTATTTTTTAATTTTTTTCACTAAATTAATTTTTAATTTTTTTTTTTAAAATCAAATTTATGAAAACCAAATCAAACATTATCTTAATTGTTCGAATTTCTTATTCGTTATCAACTGTATTCGCCTACCATTTTGACCCATAAAATTACACACATAATTATTCCTTTTATATTTTTACAATATGAGATTCCCTTACCAAATTTTGTTTTCTTTCTTTTTTTCTTTTTTTTTTTGAATAAACCTGCGAAACTATATTAATAGATAATTAAGAGTACATCACTCTAGGGTAAACAACACCCCTAGCATCATCAAAGAGTTGTGCTGAAATACCAAAATGATAAACAAAAAATCTTTCTAATAATAAGAGATGGTTGTTGCATAACAAAATTCATAATAATTCATTCAACAAATTGAACCTCTTACTCATTACGAATTTCACCCCACTTTCCCATAAGATTTGCCGAGAGGCTATTGCACATAAAACTCTCTCAATTTAAAAAAGAAAAATCATATCCAAACAAAAAAATTTGAAAAATACCTTCTTGAACCAATTAGCAACTCAAAATAGGACTTTTTTTAAGCAGTTTCTTTTTTTTTTTTTCCTTTTTCTCTATCCGGCTGGATGATAATAAAGTCATTGAGTGACGATGAAGACAATTCAGGCATGTTAGTTGACATCACAACAAGAAATTACACTTTTGGCGATTAAATTTTTAGTCGTCAAAAGTCAAATTTTAGTCGCCGAAAAGTTTTCCCGACTAAATAATTTGGTTGCCGGCTTGGTCGAGAGAAGATTGTCAGGAAGGGTATTGGCGACTATACAATTAGTTGGCAAAAGGAAAGGTATCGGCAACTATTTTTTTTTAGTCACCGAAATTCGTCAATTGGCGACTAAAAATTTGTCGCCCAAAGTTTTCAATAATTTTTTATTTTTCATTCAGCGACTAAATGGTTTTAATAGTCAAAACTCAATATACTGTGACTAAAATTTCTTTTTGTCGATGAAAATAAACATTTGGCGACTAAAACCAAAATTTTGGTCGCTAAAGATAAAAATTAATTTTTAATTTTCTATTCGGCGACTAAAATTCTTTTTTGTCGCCAATTCTGGCATTTTTAGCGACTAAATTTTTTTTAGTCACCAATAACCAATATATCCCAACTAAAAAATTAGTAGCTAAATATTTTATTTTTGCCGACTAAAAAAATTTTTGGTCACCAATTCCACAACTTTTAGCGACTAAATTTTTTTTAATCGCCGATTTTGATCGCCGAAGGTGTATTTTGTTATAGTGCATCATCAAACCTAATTTTGGTTGAATGAAACAAATTGATAAAAATTTATGTTGGAAATGATTCACTATAATATTATTCTTTCGAGAACTAATTAAAAAGTTAATTAATTAAAAATAAATTTAAAAAATAATTTAATTCACATATTGTTTAATTTTTTTAGTCTTTTAAAATTAATTTTAGAGTAATTAAAGTGATTTTTTTGGACAAGAAATGAATTTGTGAGATAAGTTAAAAAAATTTAAAAGAAAATTTCAGCAAAAAAAATCACAACAAAAGGAAATATAGACCATAATACTAGGAGATGGAGAGTGATGATTGGTTGGATAACGTGGTTGACACAGGTGTCAATTGAGAATATATTCAAAATCTTTTTTTTTTTGGTTTCTTTCCATAAATAAAAGAATAGGTTGCCTAAATGTCAAAAAGCTAAAAAATTTGATAAAAAGTTAAAAATTAACTTTTTACCAATTTTTTAAAACACCTCTAATTTCCAACTCCGTATGAAAACAATAGGAAAATTCAGTGCCATCAACTTGTCCTATAAATTCGATCAAAAAAACTTGCGTATAAATCACACCCAACCCATCTCCAAAATCTCTCTTTGGGGTTTGTTAGCCTTTCCTTATCACGATTTGTAAGGAAAATGTATTATGTGACAAATTATTAGCCCAACCAACA